AAGATGAAATGATGTAGGATAGATAGATGAATATAAATCATTCAAATAAGCGCAAGTAAAAAGAAGATGATATGTACTTGTGTGTCTTAGAATACTTGAGKGTTTACTTACGCACAAAGGTAAAAAAAATATAGGTTTCCGGCAATTAAACTTTTTTTCCACACAATACAAGTAAGAACAGTCAATATTTATTTCCACAGAAGAAAGTGTTGTTGTTCCTGTCGTAATAGTGAAGTGCCTGACCCAATACTTTATTACGTAAGTATTACGCACGACTGAAATAAGAAAGAGTATAATCACTGATATCACAACGAGCCACAATCAAGTAATTCGTCAAGTTAGTAAAGGTAGTGATCTTGTATAATACTTATAGTCCAAGTGTTTGTAGAATGATATGAATAAATATCTCAGTGTTAAATAAGAAGTTCATTTGAACATGATCGAGGAAGACGACCTTGTGTTTTATTAATTCGGGAAGCGATTCGAATGAGCAAACAAAAAGAGATTGAGGAGATTGAAGACACTATAACTAACCAACGTACCGACCAAACAGAAGATAAAAGAATAAGTTATGAATTATTCAACCAATGAATTTGGAGAAATTAGGCAACGAACGATCGCATGTGCGCGCAAACGAACGAATTAACGAAAGAACGAAAAAAAGAAAGAAAGAATTAATGAATTAATGAATGGAAAAAGAAAAAAAGGAAAAAGCAAACAAACGAATGAATGAATGAGCAAACGAACACCAACCTAAGAAACAAGTTAGCGAACAAAAAAAAAAAAAAAAAAAAAAAAAAAAAAAAAAAAAAAAAAAAAAAAAAAGAAGCAAATTCGAGCGCAAAGCATCTTGGGATGAATGAACCAGCGACCTTGAAAGGCGGAAGAAAAAAAGCGGTCAAATCCAATATCTCTGGACGTTAATCTTTCATTCCATCTTCAACAAGTAGAATGATTATAGTTTGGTCTAGTATAGTAATCTTGAATCATTGTTTGACCACCAGTAGGTGAAAACCCCCTTAAGGTTGATTTTCAACAATATGTAGATTAAATAAGGACTTAAGAAGATTTCAAAGCCATGCAGGCATACACAAAATGARAGCGGAACTGAAGAAACGACCAAGCATCGGCTTTCAAACACTACTGATATCAGACTAGATATACCTCATACCCCCTCTAAGGGCTCTACTTTCAAATTTGCTGAGTGATTAAATTAAGACATTATGTAAATTATACATTATTCTTGCATTTCCCTTTCGATGTTTCTCTCTGCCTTAATTTTTCTAATCGAATGAAAAAAATAATAGTTTGTATATCAAAAGGCAGTTTTCTTTATGGAATTAATTTATTATACTGCAGTTTAAGCCCTGCTCTTTAATACTGAAGCTTTTAAGGCGAGATTGTTATTAATAGCATTATAGCATGGGCAARAAATAAGATAGTGTTATTGCCGAGAATGGATGTCGGTCGTTCTAGATTTTGTCTCAGTGAAATTTGAATTTTTTTAAACCGCATCGAATGTCGAATGAATCCGCGCTCGTTCTTTCGGTGAAATACAATTACTGATGTTTGTTGTTTGCGCAGTTGGTTTAGAGATATTAGGGTTATTGGCGGTCAATCCAAGGCCGATATCGATCAAGTCCAATCCCGAAGCAAAAACACACAGATAAATGAACTTCATTGATATAGGATTTCTTTCTGAAATATAAGACTTCTGTCTAGTCAGACCATCGGTCTTATTACGATATTTACACCGGTTTAATACAACTCTAAGTTTCCTGTTAAAACCGAAAACCATGAAATTTAAACTACAGAACTCACGGCAGAAAAACTAAAACGACTAACTTAATAAACTTTTAACTTTTCGTTTCCTCTATTTTTCTAATTTCTCCCTTCCAAAATTCATTCGTTTTGTTTTTATTTCCATTTCTTAGCATTTTAATTGCTGATATGAATACGAAAGGTTTTTAGGAACCGAAAACAATTGCAAGAGAGTTCATATTATTTGTTCACGTATGACTTCAATAATCTATGGCACATTTAGTAAACATAACGGTAATATTTGGAATTACACTTGGAGCATTTTTTACATAATTTTTCTTTGAAATCGAAGAAGTGAATTACGAATAAAATGAACTGAGTTCTTTTAGTTGATTTATAAGATAATTGAAGGTTTGCAGACTATTCAAACACCTGTTCAGCTGCGTTACTTTGTTCTTTTCACATTAGCAATAACTAATAGTAGAAAGTTACATARAATAATAAATAGTTAAATTTCTGGAAGAAAAAGAAACTTAGAGCGGGTGATTTAAGACCATTTATTCGTCTTTCTTTCTCACGATAGCACACAATACCTAAGAGCTATATGACACTTTAGGACCAAATTGCTCTGTTGACGTCAAATAGGTTGACAAGAAAGCTAATATTTAGATTACAAGGTTGAATGCCATGTTCAGTTATTACTTGGGATTCTATTTCATTTTGTTCCATAGTATTTTGTAGTCTGTAAACTTCATCTTTACTTTCGTTGGGTATATTTGTTTGGCCGTGTTAATGAAGTTAGATGAATGTACGATACGTGCTGAAATAAATATCTGTTTTCATTCAATTTCCTTTCGGGAACAAGTAAACTAGGAGCGAACATTAAGACGCAATATATGGAATAAAAGGTTTGTTATTTCATAAAAAATGATTTTGAATATGTCAAATGTGTTTCGTTTATTAGACTAACCATAAGAGTAAATAACAATCAATAGTCGCATTGAATRCAACAAGCAAAATTTAACAAACCCCGAGTGGGATGAAAATCTTATAGTAAGGTAGGTTTAAACGCTCTAAGATTTACTGACATTCAGGGACGCACAAGTGACAACATCCTGGTTCACGACTTGCTAGTCAAACCTCTCACAGAAATCGTCAATCGAGAGATTGTCGGGATTTTCTAGCTTATCTTAAGTATTTTCAGCCCCAAACGCATCCGCTCTTCGGAAACTTCTTTATTTTAGCTTTTATATGTTTGATTTAATAGATTCTTTGTTGTATATGGTCTTTTCAACTCATGGACTAACATAGCTTGAATATAAGGTTAAGTAGATGACTAGCATGCTTCAATGTAATTGTCAAATTTTTTTAAAAATGTTTTTTATTTTAATTGTTGCTCCGACCAACGATGTCAGAGTCGTATATTGCACCACCTACATCCCGCTTGTTCATCCTTTTTTGCTTCTTCTTTTGCACGGCTTTAAAAACGAAAGTATATAAATATATATATAAATAAGAGTTTGCTAAGTAAGGTAGATTCCGGCCTTTCTGTAGCTTGCGAGCCCATTACGCTTCAATCGTTCGTTTAGAAATGCATGCCCTTCCGTCAGTAGCCGGCAAATTTCAACTCAGAAAGTGAATAAAAGTAAGTTATGAAACTGAAGTACATAAGTCACTCACATCCTGCGATGAATATGGGGTCTTTGATTTGAAAGTAGTGTGTATATAGCGGTCTAGTGACAGTGTCGAACAAGTTGAATACGACATGCAAGCCRGCTCCAGGAAACTGCACATCTAAATATTTAGTTCTATTTGTTTTGATTTTATTACTTTTCACACTCCTGTCTCAAACTGAATGGTCTCTTCTTGTTCTGAGGCCAGTATAATGTGTTCTGTATGACGAACTCGGCATGAACTGCTGTTCCTGTGACGGGCATTATTAGTTGCCTGCAGACCTTCCTCCAAATCATCCAGACACGTCTGAATACAGCATTTCGAAGCGCGAGTAACAGGGCAAACGGTCATAAATCTCGAGGCAAAAAATTCCTTTAGCAAAGTTTTAACTCCGTGGCGATATTTTCGAAGGAAAATGAAGTAAATGTAAGGGTTAACACAACAGGTTGATAAAGTAAGGAAGAAAAATGAGAACTGTATGGTTGACATTTTGCAGGTGTCACTAGTTGCATTCAAAACGAAATTCTGTAAAAAATAGAGAATGTGAATTGGAGCAAAAAAGACTGCAAAAATCGTTACGATGATAACTAACATAGCAATGACTCGATTGTCCTCTCGTCTTCTCTGTCGGCGTTGCTGTGATGAATGATTCCTGATTGAAACCCTAAGCTCTCGTATGATGGAAGAATACATAATAGTAATGATTGTCAGTGGAAGTACGTACACCACAACTAGTAGAAATAAGAAGTAAGTCTTTTGAGATTGGAGGCTTTTTTGTACGTGTGTGTCATCATCGAGCTTATCCACTGAACTCCAAAATGAAACGCACAATGTCTTATCCTTGAAGCCGTGGTAAAGTTTGAAACTATAGAAGTACGGAGCGTGGACGATAAAAGCAATCGTCCACGTTGCAGCAATCAAGACGGTACACTTCTTTGTCGTAATGTGGAGCTTGTAGGAAAGGGGCCAAACGATGGCAAAGTATCGATCGCAAGAAATCAAAACAAGTGTGAAGATAGACACAGAGTTCGAGACATCACCAATAAAAGGAATTAGCTTGCACAGTAATTCCCCAATAATACCATTAACATGCCAAGCGTGTAGCCCGTAAGGTCCTTCCTCAAAGACAGCGAGGACATGTCGTGGAATGACAAAAACTGGTAGCATAATATCAGATGCAGCCATGTTGACGATAAAACAGTTAGTAGTTGTCAAGACAGAGCGGTTCTTGTAGAAGATACGAATAACAAGGCCGTTCCCGATGAGGGAAAGAATAATTACTATACAATAAGCCAATGATTTAACTGTCATTACCCCTAATTTGCTTTCCTCGTCAACGCATTGCCTAGTATGCTGTTCACCGCTGCTGTAATTGGTGTAACTCGTGTTATTTGCGCTTGCCATAGTTCACGGGATTCTCGTTCTCTTGGCTGCAGTTCTGCTCTCACTAAGCTATYACCCACAAGTCGTTAAAGTCCACTGCTTCCGCTATGACGACCAAACCAAAACTGAATATCAAACGATTGAAAAACCAAAGAAATACTATGTCTCAAGAATATTATTATGCTCACCACTTGAAATTTAAACATTGGGTTATGTTCGGTACGTGCGTGCGTCGGGTTACTGCAGACCAACGATATCTGGTACTCCTATGCGACTAATAGTGTGCCTTTTTTTAGTGACTCATTTGAAACTGCCAGGCCTTATCAAAAGTCAACATTTTGTAATCAATGGAAATATATTCGACCCTGTGAGACTAATCTAGTTTGTTCAGGTTAACAGAAAGTTAGTAGAACAGCTCTTAAATTATGGAAATGTACAACCTGTTTTCGCACTGAGATATCTGTTTTTAAAATATCCTAAATCTCGTATCGCGATCTTATTGGGAAATATAAAACACCTGTTTCGTAGGCTTGATACAATTATGTTGATTTGGCAATGCCTTAACAATATATGCCGTCGTCATGAATATTTATGTTAGTTGAAATACAAAAAAACCAGCTCTTAGGATTTGATGTCAGATCATTAAACTCGTCAAGTCTCTACTGTCTAACCAGAAGTGCAAGGTGGTATTCATTTAGTATTAGTCGTTTTTTTTTTTACATCACGTTTGTGTCTTTTTCATTTAATTTAGTGATTCCTATGTAAGCTTTGAATACCAGCTTCGCCGGAACCTATCTTCTTCAACAGGGATTTTTCTTCTGAACTTTAAAACAGTTTTCGATCTTTTCGTCTTAAACGATGTTTTGATCTGCCGGAAAGAAGATCTTCTCCATGACGTACTCAAACACCACTTTGAACAGACAGTGTTGAATATGCGATAAGCCAATCGACAGCGACCATTACAAAAATAGAACTTGCATATCAAGTGTATTTTTAGAACTTGTTTTTATGACATATTTTTCGAGTTAGAAACCAAATGTTGAAGGTGGGGTTTTTATATTCAAAGCATTGCACAATTTGAAATGACAGCGAAACTGGTAATATGAATACGATTCATAAAACTATGGTTCGAGTAACTAATAAAAAGATTGACTATTATGAATCAAAATGGAAGAAGTCTTGGTTTACGATGCATAGGTGTATGAAGCATAGTGAACGTTCGACATTCGTATAAAGTAGTAGTAGTAGTAATGATAACAATAATAATAATAATAATAATAA